GTTTCTGGGGGGGGGGGGACTGTAACTCTCGCTCCTCTTTTGGCCAGCGCTCCAACACATTGTTTGTGGTATGCTAAGGTTCGGACATCTCTAAGCGGTTGACCAATCACGACAGAGCTGGCCAGCTAACCAATAGAGCAGACTGGGCTCTGGTTTCAGACAGGGTGAAACGAGTATTAAAGCATGTAAACATGTCACAAAATACAACTATAAATCTGAAAATGAGCTTAATATGTCTTCATGAACTGTTTTGTTTGGCGAGTAGTCATTTGTCAAAGCCTGCTCTTGCATTCGGAGGTTTCTAGTGTGGAAATCAGAATGAAAATGTCCATCATTGTTACACTGGTAAAAGAAGTTCTCTATCTTACCTGCGTTTACATCTCTTTGGTTGCCTTTTTATAATTAGAATTAGGGGTGCACCGAATGGGAAATTCTTGGCCGAAACCGATACCGAAAATAGGAAACAGTTGGCTGAATGCCGAAAGGCCGAAAATGATTAATAGAAATATATATATATATAATGTATACATTTTTTACCAATGTTGTTCAGCTACCTGATGACAATATATTGAACACTGTGCTGCTGTCATTTCCCACTAATGATAACCTGAGATGGTGAATTATAACTCACAATGAAAATTGTTCAGGAAAGTGGGTATAGAGTAGACATGTAGAACTAGATAAGCTTATGATAAGCCAGCCTTGTCTACTTATTAAGGAAAAGTGGGAGGTTCTTTTTAATGAACATTGGCTTCTCTGCTTTATCAGCCATAAGTCTGTTCCTCTTCTCATCAAGCACATGAGAGGCAGCGCTGAACAGTCTCTCGCTGTCAGTGCTTGTGATTTGATCTTACTCCGCATATTTGTCCGGGTGTTTTGATTTCAAGTGGTGGATTAATCCCGAAGTGGTGAAAGTCTTTGCAGTTACACCCCCTCGAGAAATGTCAGCTGAACACGTTTTACAAATCGCAATCCGCGCCTCTTTCTCTGATATTTTTAAATATCTCCAAGTGGCAGACATGTTGGCTGTGAGCCAGCCGCGAGCATGGTCGCGCGCCGTGCTTGTCGCCGCGTTTTGATTACGTCATCACAACAACACATTAGCTTACCAACGTAACCCTGCCGAAAGCCGAAAGGGCCTTTTTAACCATTTTCGGCCGATAATTTTCGGCGGCCGAATATTCGGTGCATCCCTAATTAGAATTACAACAGATGAAATGTCTTTTAGTTTTTATAACCATTCCAAACATTCCAACAGCAGCTTTTAATTCAGGTTCACTAGCTTGCCTAAGGACTGTTGAACCACTGACATTCTGATTTGAAGAAGCCCATTTTCCCCTGAGCCACAGCTGCCCCATGAATCATCATCCTGCCACGGTACATGTTCCAAAAACAGAGGGACATCGTTTAATAAGAACCACCAATCCTGCACTTTCTACTATCCTCAAATCCAGACGCAATCATCCAAGAGTTTTCATCGTCTTCATTTGGCTCAGGGGATCAATAGCATCTCTTATATAATCTAATCAATATAATTACTCTAAGCCTGTTATATTCATGTGCATTGTATGTTCCTTTCTTGGTAAGATAGATTGTTCAGTGCTTTGAAAAACTCGTCATTATTTGGTTTTACATTCTCTTAAACAACAATGGTGAATCCGACATAATTGGTACAAAAAAATGTATATGAAATGATTGATGCAAACCAAAAAAGGGAGGTATTTGTTTTTAAATCACTGCCATTTATCTAACCTTAATATGATTATGTATCTAGTCTTCTAATTTTGGAGTGATTAAGTGAATATTAATAGGACTTATAAGTCATTTTGTCTAATTTGAAAAATAACAAAGTTGTCTGCCTGCATGTTAAGGGACAACTTGGAATATTCTGGAACTTTGGTTGGCATTAATCGCAATGATATTTCAGGGATCACATTTTAGTTATATCTTTATCCAGTCTGGTGTAGATCAATCTTCCGTGTAAGGATTCACCACTTAAACAAATGCATCACATTTCTCAATAAGAGCCTTCCTTTCGCCAAGTACTTCCAGGGAAGCACTGTAGAAATAAACAGCAATTCATTAGTTAGAAAAGAATATGTATTTTCCAGCTAAATGAATAGATCAAGTCACATTGAGTGGAAAACGTGCATTCCATTCCTACAAACAATGACAGGGACCAGCCAGAAACACCAGCTTTTGGAACAAATGATCCAGTGTGTGATCGAGAAAGAGCAGCTGTTGTGGAAACCTGGCAAGTACTCACCACTAAAATCTACTTTCTCTTTTTCTCTCTCCACCAGGTTTTTATCCCGATCACCATCAACATCAAATCAAAGGTGAGTGATTTTCTTCTTTTCTACTATTTCCATTTCTGTTGCTCCAGTCACTTTTTCTTTCTGTCTTTGTCTTCTACCACAAGTGGCTTCAGAAAGTAGATCCCTTTTGAAGAAACCAGCATATCCTCATCAACTACAATAAGCATCATCTAAACGCACGAGTGTAAGGTTTTGGGATGTTGTGATTTTTTAAAAGATGTAAATACAGTAAATCACCACTAGAGGGCGGCAGTGTTTCTTTCAATGGAGCCTCTCTGTATTACACTTCTGGTGGGAGCAGTGGGGAGGCAAATCAAGTGCACAAAATATAAATATTCAGGTGAAGAACAAGTGAAAACTTAATTTTTTATCATATTAGCTGGGTTTAAAAGTGATATGTGTATGTCTGTATGAAACTGTGGCACATGGACTACCACCAATTGGAGGGTCCGTGGTTCAATCCCTATCCCCTTTAGTCAACATTTTGATGTGTCAGTGGGCAAGATACTTCACATCAAATTGCTCCTCTATGTATAGAAGTGTACGTACTGTAAGCCACTTTTGGATAAAAGCGTTAGGGTTCAGATGACATGTAATATAGTTTGTATGAATGTGAGTGTGTGTGAGCATATTAGAGATGGTGTACACAGGTGTGTTTATCTCTAGGGAGTATGTGAGCATTTTTGTATGCTTGTTGGAGACTTCATTGATTTCGTGAGAGGATTGAGTTTATCTCTGTGTTAATTCACAACCGTTGCAAATTAACACAGAGAAACCGGAGTCTCGATCCTCTGCCAGTCCCCTCCTTCCTTTTCCCATCGACTCCCTCTCCCTGACTACTGATAGGGCAGACATGGAGTCAACAGAGGAGAGAAACAGCGAGAGGAGGAGTAAAGGGGGGAGGGAGGGAAAGAGTTGGGATACAGGGGAAGAGCTAAAGTAGAAACAAAGAAGCGCTGCAGGTGTGTGGACTTTTGAATATCAAGTGGACAGGTCGAGCTCAGCAGCTGTAGTTGTATTTCCTCCAGATTAAGTCTAGTGCTGGTTTTCAGTTGAGTTTATATACAGTGTAAGTGCTGACCGAGGCATGGCCCTTCTTACCAACGGAGCGCAGAATCTGGGCTCCTATTACTGCCTGATCCGACGCAGGTTCAAGAGGAGGCGCAAGAAACGCTCTGAGCGCAAAGGTAAACCTCACTTCAGACATGTATTCACAGAGAGTGATGCTGAGCTGACTTTGTGTGCACTTTGTGATGTTTTGTAGCTGCAAAGTGAAGAGAGAAGCGCACTTGCTGCTTTTAAATCATTTGTTTGACTTGTGTGTGAAGTTGGAGGTTGTTAGCATTATCAGCACACACACACCGCTCGGAAATCTGCTCCTAATACTGTCACTTTGAGGATGCCTTATATTGTAAAAGCTTTTCATTCTTTACATTTCTTTCTGGTCAGTGAACCTGTATAACATTTTATAGATTGACTCTAAGGATTTTTTTCCTTTGTTGTGGTGGTTTGCATGTAGATCATTTCATTGACTGCAGGTTGAAGACGTTTTGATTTGTATCAAAAGTGTGTCTTATTTATATATAAATGATGATATATTAGTATTCATTTAATTTATTTCATTATTTTTTTTGTTTGAATGACAATATTCTCGTAAATAATTGAAGAGAAACATAGATATAGATGAAGCCTTTTTTCTGTTATTTAAACCTGATCTAGTTATATGTTTACAATCACTTCTGAATAAATAATTGCCGTGTTGACTGGAGACTGCAAATATGGAGAGATGAAAAGGGATGGGGATTGCTACTCTAACCGTGAGCATTTATTACATTTATTATATTTAATTTATTATTCATATTATTTATTTATACTATCTCAAACAGCTATTTGGGCAATTCATTTTTGCCTGTAGACCAAAAATAGACACCATATAAAACATGGAAGCTTGACTAGGGAATAAAACATGTGTTCAAAGGTTTGAATCAGGAGGGAAGACGGATAATCTTGATTCTTATATGTTGTATGTCGGGGACTACGGATGGAAATGAGCTCAAAGCTCAAATCCGGCATATTTACACTTGAAGCATTATTCGTCTAAAGTGTTCATTAATGTGCACTGTCCCAATTCAAATAAACGATAAAATTAAAGGAAGATAACAAATGCTTCTCTTATTTCAATAATGGGAGTATCCTCTAAATAATATTTCAGCAACACGTTTAATTTCTATAGTCAGTGGTTCCCAAAAAAATAATACTGAATTTGAATCCCTGTTTTGATTTAATACGCTTTTCTTTTGTTTCTTTTTCGGGGATCAGAATATTGCTCTGTTGAGTAAATGCAACCTCTGAGTGGGACAGGTCCGTCTCTGTGTAAATGCACTCTGGTGTCGGAGCCCCTCAGAGGCTCTAAGCTTCTCCCTCCTGAGTGTGCTGCTCTGCTCTGGGGATTAGCCTTCCAGCCGAGGTAGTAATTACTTAGGTGGCCACAGCTCACTGGCAGCATTAGCCATGTCTCAGCCACTTGCTTTGAAACCCACCACCCTAC